GATGGATGGATGTGTGATAGATTTATAGATGGATGTATAGCTGGATGGATGAATGGATGGATGGATGTACAGATGGATGAATGGATGGATAGATGGTTTTGAGACAAAGTCTCTGATCCTTGCAACATTTTTGAGATAGTAAAAAGACGATGTAGAAATGTAAATCTGTGTCCACTGTGACTGCAAGGCTCCTAAACTGACTTGTGTTTGAAACACAGGCGCTGAGATCATCAATCGTTTTGTTTCTGCTCGTCCTCCAAAAATATCAACCTCTGTTTTGTTGTTCTTCAAGTGGAGAAAATGAACCGGAGAACAGAAGTTCGAGGCTTCTTATTGTGTGGTCCCCTGTTGATCTCCCCCGTTCATCCCTCTGTTCTTTGTTTCAAAGACCTGTCCCTTCAGCACTTGTCAAAGTCCTTCCTTTAAACCGTAAGCTAAGTAAAGCAGGAGCTAATGACTGAAGTTCCATTGCATAGGTTTGTGGTCAGGGTGCAGAATAATAAGGCTGCGCATGTGTTTGTGCATTCCTACACATGGCAGTGATTGGGAACATTTTGCTTTTAGTTACTTCTTCAGAGAATTATATCCCACTTTGTTTAGAGATCCTAATTATACTATCAGTTAATTATAAGTTGTAGCTTTTATCCTGCGGGGGAAATGACATCAACCTCAGCAGGCCACCAAGAGACTGAACACAAAGAGCAATCGATGCAACAGCAGCTCTGATGTAAGTGGAAAAAGTGTTGTTTCAACGTTTAACTGTCACTTCTCCACTCTTACCTATAGTTCTTACACTAATGCATATAAATGAGACGTCTGGCTGGGAAACCCTTCCAGTGAGAGCGTGAGGCCGTTCCTCATTATGAAGTGGAAAGTGAGGTTCCCTCACGTCTGATCATGGTACAGGGAATCTTGTAAAAACAGTGCCTTTAAAGAAGAAGAAAGAAAACCCTGACTGCAGACACGGTTTTAGAACATTTGAACATTAAATCCACATTGTTAATAAGCTAGAAGAGCCTATGATCTTAAAACGGACCGGACTATTAATCTGAGTTTTTGGGTTTCGTCTACATGTTCCGTTCTGCCTTTAAGTTTTGTTTCTCATGTCTGTCCAAGTGCTCCACATCAGTTCTGCTGAGGGACCAGTATTACGCCTCGAGCTAGCTGGTTTGCCTGTTTATACTCTGAAGGGACAGAGACGGTGGAGAACCGGCCCCGTCGGTGCTGGAGGACATGGGCCTAATGATGATGAAGCTTTGGAGACACGTAAATCCTCAAGGGTCACATTACACCTCGATGTGTGTGTGTTTGCTCGTTTGAGTGCACGTATCCCTACACACGTCAGCCTCTGGTAGACGTTAGCATATCCTCAAGGATCTGCTCATCAGGAAGCTGATTGACTCAGCCTGAATATTCTTCAAGAGAAAGAGGCTCAACATAATGACTGAACTCTGGATGTGCAATTTAAGCAAAAACACGTCAAATTTGTTAGATGATAACCCCCCCCGGTCCAGTCTGGTTCTGCTGGTCCCCAATAATCCCACCACCTAGCAGCCACCTCTACAAATGTATGAGCAACTTGCAGAGATTCATGCTTGTCTCATGTTGTGCTGATTTCATCCTTTGCTCATGCAGCGCTGATGGATAAGAGTCACAACAAACACATTAAAAGCAAAGAAAGCATCTTACCAAGTGCTAATCTCATCTGTCACCTGATTCATGTTTTTGTTGAGAAATAATTGTGTTGACACAGATGAACATAAAATGTAATGTTCTTACTCCAAGTCCTGCAGCTGAAAACCCTTCTCATGAAGAGAAGCCTGTCCTGCTAGTCCTGCTAGCTGGGAATCTTTTGTTTTCCTTCATCGTCACTGGTCCGATGGATTAACGTGGAGGAGATGAGTTTATTCTGTTAGTATAGCTGAGCTCACCCGTGACCATAGTTTCCATTTTATAATCCTTTCAAAATAAACTGTGATGACATGGTAGCTGTGAAGATGACAAAAAGCACACCGATGACAGGAAACACCTTTAGGAATTGTAGCGTTTCAGTTTAAGGTAACTGTGATTCAAAACATGGCTCTCACCGTTGCTTTAATCTATGAAACTGGACCATTTTTAACTATCCATCCATCCATCCCATCCATCCATCCATCCATCCATCCATCCATCCAGCCAGCCAGCCAGCCAGCCAGCCAGCCATCCATCCATCCATCCATCCATCCATCCATCCATCTAGCCATCCATCCATCCATCTCATCCATCCATCCCATCCATCTCATCCATCCATCTCATCCATCCATCCATCCCTTCCGTCCATCCATCCATCCCATCCATCCATCACCTTCTGCTAATTCCCAAGTCAGGACTCAGGGCAGCATCTTGAGCAGGGAGGTCCAGACATCTTTTTCCACAGCCCCCTCTTCTAGCTCTGGAGGACTCCAAGGTGTTCCCAGGACAACCGAGAGACATAGTCTCTCCAACGTGTCCTGGGTCTTCCCCGGGGTCTCTTCCCAGTTAGACATACCCGAAGCACCTCCCTAGGGAGACACCCAGGAAGCATCCTTACCAGATGCCTGAACCTCCTCAACTGGCTCCTCTGGATGTGGAGGAGCAGTGGTTCTACTCTGAGTCTCTCCTGATAACTGAACTTCTCACCCTGTCTCTAAAGGAGAGTCCAGCTACCCTGCAGAGGAAACTCATGTCAACCTCCTGGATCCACGATCTCATTCTTTCAGTCTCTACCAGAGTTCATGTCCAGAGGTGAGGGGAGGAACGTAGACCTACTGGTAAACAGAGAGCTTTGTTTTACAGCTCAGACAGCTCAGGTTCCTCTTCACCATAACGGACCGGTACAGAGTCTGCAATACTGCAGAAGCTGCACAATCCATCTATCAACCTCACGCTCCATTCTTCCCTCACTCGTGAACAAAACCCAGAGATACTTGAACTCCTCCACTTGAGTCAGAACCTCACCCTTGACCTGAAGAGAAAAATCCACCCTTTTCCGGTTGAGGACCACAGCCTCAGATCTGGAGGTGCTGGTTCTCATCCCAGCTGCTTCACAGTCGGCTGTGAACCGCTCCAGTGAGAGCTGAAGATCACGGCACGATGATGCCAACAGGACCACATCATCTGCAAAGAGCAGAGATGAATCCTGAGGCCACCGAACCGGACTCCCTCCACCCCCTGACTGCACCGAGAAGTTCTGTCCATGAAAGTTCTGAACAGAATCTGAGACAACGAGCAGCAGGAGGAGTTCAACTCCCACCCTGAAGGGTCCGACTCACTACCGGCTACACAAACCAAACTCTCACACCGCTTGTATACGGACTGAACAGCCTGTGACAAAGGGCCCCCAATCCCAAACTGATGGAGCCCCCCCAGTGTACTCCGAGGAACACAGTCGAATGCCTTCTCCAAGTCCACAAAACACACGTAGACTGGATGGGCCAACTCCCATGACCCCTCGAGGACCCTAGTGAGGGTAAAGAGCTGGTCCAATGTTTCCTATCCCTAAACCAAACTGTCAGCAGCTGGCCATGACAGTTGTTGCCTGTTAGATCCATCTACTTATTTTATTTCCATCTTTATCACTTTTCTGAGCGACAGCATTCTGTGTGCGCTCATTTCAAGCAGACTTCAGCCTGAAAACATTTCAACATGCACTCTAAATGACTTTGAGGACTCAGTTTGTTGTGGTTAAGTAACTCGACCCTTCTCATGTGCTGCTGCTTCTTTTTTTTAGTCCAACCAGTTGAACAAGCAGCAGTTGTGACTACTTTAAGCTGTGCCACGAGTCAGTGAAGAGCTAAAGTCATATTTGCATTCCACCGTGCAAGCAACTGCTTGATTTAATCTGCTGTTTTATGATTCATGTTTCAGAAGTCTCCTGTCTGGAGTGGAAATGATTCGACTTAGACAGGCTTCAAACTTTGATCCTCCTTGGTGATCTTGGTTTGCTTCTATTTCTGCTCGTGTGTGTGTTTCAGAGAACGGAGCTCAGTAATGGAGCGATTAGCTGTTGTTTGATTCCTGGAGCTGCCTTCAACATGTTTTACACAACACAAACTTCTCATGGCTTTGCCTTCGTCCTCGTCCGTGCACTTGGGCGGTAATGATGACTTTGCTCATCGCACTTCTCATCACCACGGCGTTTGAGCTCCTCTGAACACATGTTCAATTTTAAACACTTCATGAAGACGTGACAGCTTTCAGATAGGAGCTACAAGAATGCTTTGATCTGATCAGCAAAGAAGAATGTTCTTCACGTTTTCTCTTTCTTTGTACCAGTAATTAAACCACAAAACAATAACTTTGGAAAACGATTGGAAGATCAGGAAAATATTTCTGTGATCCAGTTACTTTGATTAATTTGTAAATATGAACAAATTCTTAAAGTACAGAATGTGCTGACACATCATAAATCCATTTACAGCTATTATATCTCAATTACAGGTTTTTTTTGCCTGTATTTGAGTTATTCTGCATTTCTTACCAGTCCCTTCATCCTCCCATTCCCCCAGGACACAGAGCAGTGGGAGAGGTCGGTGTCGAGGGTGGCTGAGATGGCATCGGCCTTGATTCAGAACCGAAACCCCGTCTTGGTGGGGCAGCTTCTACAGGCGTGAGGAGGGGCAGCGTCAACATGAGGTCCTGAAGTTCTGACTGAGAGCTGCTGGACCGAGGCTCATTTGATCTACATGTGAAGTGACCTCAGCGTGCATCAACATGATGGACGCAAACGCCAGCAGAGCATGAGGTACTCTGACTTTCACCTGCACCTCCTGCGATGCAGCTCAGTCGTATTTTTGTTTGTTTGTTGAAAAATAAACCGATCTTAAACTGTTGTGTGATTTTGCTTTCATGTATTTCATTTTTGACACCAGTAGCAGAGCGAAGAGGAGAATAGGAAATATTGTCCGTCCATCTGTCCATCTGTCTTATGAGCTGAATAACTGAAAAAAATAACCGACTCCTGTTTTGGTGCATCGCTGCACCTACTGTATTGTTTAAATCCAAGATGGCCACCACCACACACACACACACACACACACACACACACACACACACACACACATATATATATATTTTCCATTCTACCTTTATTTCTACAGGTTAGTCTCATTGAGCCTCAAGGACTCATTTACAAGAGAGACCAGTTCTGAACAAAGATCACAGACGAGGTACAGACAACAAGAGGCACTCATATAAAACAAATATAAAATGAAAATTAAATAGAAGAAATGAAATAAAAACAAAACGGCTACATTATAAAGTGAAGTAGAAAACTAAAAACAGGAACATGTCTGCACTGGTTTTTAGCATGAACTTATCAGATGTTTGAAGCCACTTAGAGAGGTCAAAGGTCGAGAGCTTCAGATCGTTTCGCAACATATTCCAGGATACAGGTTTTATATATATATATATATATATATATAT